AATATATTTATTTATTTAAAGTAACTAATGTTTTAATCATATACTCTACGACACTGGTCACTCATTTCCACTCAAAATACCTACATAATCGGATTAAAAGTTTTATAGCTGTATTGTATTTCTTCAGATACAAGGTGGGTTAGTCGAAAACATCTTAAACTGCCAGTTTTAGTTTGGTTTTTGTTATTATATCATATTAGCTGTCCTCTCTGTATTTCAGTTCTCTAATGAGGGTCAAACTTGCAGTGAGCTATCAACAAATTATGAACGGACTATAGTATTCAGAAGATTTTTAACATTTGAATTGATACAGGCATCAATAAGAATTCATTGAATCCATGATTGAAGCTTCAGTGATCTAAATACCCTTCACTTTCGAACACAGCAAGATATCAGAGTCGAATAAAAATTTTGTGTGATACTTTTTGCTAAATGAAACCAATAGTATGAATAACTTTTCTTTCAAATACAATAGGGGGTGATGTGACCGTTCGCTCGAACATTTCGTCTACTACTGCGGCAGACAGGTATAAAAACCTGCAGAACACGGCTAACAAATCCAGAAATAATTTTTAATTGGAGGTGGTTGACAATGTTTCGTGGTGTATTTCATGAGTTCGGACTTCCATTGTCTAATATAATATATAAAAATTAAAAATTTTATTAACAAAAAATGAGAAATAAAAATTAAAAGATTCCAAACCAAGTTATGTCACGACGTTTCGATTGTTAGTATCCACAATCGTCTTCGGGTGATAACTGGACTTATTCCGACCAACATCTTCAGTTCAATCGAGATGGAGCCCAGCTCCCTTACCCTTTCAGCTGATTTTTGTCGAAGAAGGACAAATGGGTTCATGACTGAGGGGATGGCGGTATGAAGTCCTCAGACATCAGTACCGCCCTTCACGGGGGGACTGGACTTATTCCTTCGAGATCTGACTATTTATAGGTCACTTATCCCCTCTTCACTCTCTCCACTTCATTGGTTTTAGCGGGAGATGACCGTTTGACGGGAAGTGGTCGTTTTTCGCTTAATTAGAGGTTTCCATATGTTACGTATCTCTACGCTAACTTGACTAAATGCTTTGTTGGACAACATATAATTTGTTATTTCAATGATTGATCAGATAACTTATTTCTTTTTTTATTTCAGCTATTTTCTTCCAATCGAACATTTGACGGTTTTGACTACGGATTGCTCGTTCCCGTGCCCAGTCAACCGACAGACACCTCTCAAGGAAATGTGATGCCTGTTTGGGTGCAAGTGGCGTGGAGCGCCGTGTTCCTTCTTATGATTCTCACTGCAACCGGGGGAAACTGCATCGTCATCTGGATCGTCATAGGTGAGTGAATTTGATAAGTTACCAGCTGATATTTGAGCCATTGAAAACATCACGTTCGCTTTGGAGAATAGTTGCAGGTGAGCAGGTACCTCGACCAAATGAATCCAGCTTCTCAACAAACCGATTGATTCATTTGGGGAGTGATCTTCCAGGTCAGCTGGCAAGAGTGCGATCCTGCCAAATGCAGAAAACCTGATCCCGTTTGCAGACGACACACACAGAATATATAGGCCTGATTGGTGATCAGTCTGCCACTATCTTCTCCAAGAACGTGAGCAACACAAAAGTGTGGCCTTAGAAGTCGATCTCTTGTAAATACTAAGAGAGGGTCGTGAACCATCAAATCCTTAGATATTTGGAAGGCTCCAACATCTTGAGTGATCATCAATATGGCTTTCGTAAACAAAGATAAGATCAACAAGTAACATTTTATCGTATATCATCCATATTTGGAATAACGCAATCGAAAAAAATTGGGAGTCAGGAGCTCTTGCGCTTGATATTTCTGAGGCCTTTGTGGGCTGAGGGTTTGCTGATCAAACTTCGATGCTATGGCTATGCTATGTTCTCCAGGGATCCATATTGTCTCCAACCTTCTTTTAATTGTATATCAAGGACAAATTGGAAGAAACCAATAATCCAATATATTGCTTTGCTGACGACAGCACACTTGTCTCGTCATTCCATTTGGATTCCAGGACATCGACTGCGGATGCACATCTTCACCTGCAGTAGGATGTTGCAAATTTTAATGGAGATCAAGAGACGATTTAGAATTGGTGTGAAAGTAACCAGGCTCAATTTAATGCAACGAAAACCCAGGCATTGGTTTCCACTTTTTGTTCCGATAAGTTAGTTGGGGGTTAAAATGGACATCAATATTTTCCAATGAAACAAGTTTTTGGACAAGGGAAAACAAGAATGAAATGATTTAATGATGACTTGCGGCAAATGAGAGAAAATCTCAGTTGCATTAAAACTATTTGTGATACCACCAAAAGCGCGGAAGATCTTCTTGCATTCACACTATATCGTAAGCAATATAGAAAAAAACTTGAAAATGTAAAAAGAGAGTCATATATAGTGATTTTGTTAGAAAATAAACAAAAAAGTACTTGGTAAATTATAAATCATGAGTTGAATAGAAACCCTAGACAAAACCAAACTTGTGATTTGAACGGGGATATTTTTAATGAATTCTTCATGAATATAGCAGAAAATGTTATTTCAGAACTACCCGAACTCCAATTTACTTCGAATGATTTACTTAATGGTGCTAAATCATCATGTTCTTCATTCTTTCTTGAACCTGTAACCTGAACCTGTAATAATTGATGCAGTGATATCCTTGAAAAATTCTTCTTGCTTAGATATTTACGGTATGAACAGTGCAGTGATCAAGGGTATAATTGAAGCTCATAGATCCTCTGACATTTTTATTCAACTCGTGTATACAAAAAGGGTGTTTTCCAGACATGTTCAAATGTACAAAGGTATTGCCTCTTTTTAAAAAAGGAGACAGGTCTCTGGTTGGTAACTATAGACCAATATCAATCATTCCCGTTTTGGGAAAAATCTTTGAAATTATTTTGAAGAACAGGCTCATGAACTTTTTCATCAATAACAAATTATTTAGTGAAGATCAATACGGATTCAGAGCGGGTATATCAACAACAGATACAATTCGAAAAACTGTGAGTCTGGTTATCGAGGGTCTTGAGAGAGGTGAACATGTGATATTAACCATGTGTAATCTCTCTAAAGCATTCGACTGCGTTGTTCTGTTCAAAAAGTTGGAGTTTTATGGAGTGAGAGGGCTAACACTCAGTTTATTTCAGTCGTACTTATGTAACAGAACCCAATCTGTGTGTGTGAATGTCTGACATTAAACCTATCAAGAATGGTGTACCGCAGAGATCCGTTCTGTGACCATTGCTATTCTTGATATATTTCAATGACTTCAGTCATTTTATGTCACCAGGTGAATGTGTTCTTTTCGCAGATGACACAACTCTAATAACGTCTCATAAAAACATAATCGAATTACCATCAATTGCTGATGATACTCTGAGGCAGGCGTCTCTGTGGTTCACAACAAATCAGTTGAAATTTAACGAAAGCAAGACCCAGAAGGTCTTGGCCACTGAAAATGGCGATGATACTGCCAAACTACTAGGGCTCACTCTTGACCGGAATTTATCATGGTAAACACACTTTGATGAACTGAGTGAGAAGCTGTGTAAGAGTATATTTGTTTTTCGACAGCTAGAGTACTGTCTCTTGACGCCCTGAGAAGTTTATATTTGGCCTTGTTCCACTCACATATGAATTATGGCATAGTTTTGTGGGGTAATTCCTCTCACTCCATTAAAATCGTCAGACTTCAGAAAAAAGCAGTCAGAATATTGATGAATGCCAACTATAGAGATCACTGTAAGCCGCTTTTTAAAAAAATGGATATACTACCACTACCATCGGTTTTCATATATAGTCAATTACTTGAAATCCATGAAAATAAATCAATCTATTCGCGGCATCAGGATATTCATCAGCAGCTACAAGAAATACAGATCTGTTCATAAGCCTTGATACAAACTCACAAGGTCTATTAAAAATTAATTGAATATCAATCTCGTGAGGAACTAGGACCGTCGAAACACCTAAGAAGGAAGTAAAGTGAAAGGTTAACTTCTCTTTTCATTGGTCAGATTTTCAATGGTTTAATTGTAATTAAATCATCTTTCTGATTCGTTCAAAGTGCTCAAACAAAGCTCCTTCAAAAACAGAGTCAGAACTATTCTCCTGGAAAACTATTTTTATAGGACTCAGGATCATTTAAGTACTTCAATTATGCCGATTTAGATTTGATTTTATTTCATCTGATATGTGAAGCTCATGTTTATATATAATATTTGTTGTTTGACACTTTCAAAAATTTTACACTGATTATTGTAATGTTCAAAATTATCTTTCATTTTATTCACAATTTATGATTCAATATTTTTAACTTGTGACAAACATTCAAGTGTGAAGTTGTCAAATAAATATATCTATCTATGTCTGGGCACGATCATATCGCTGAAATTGCAGAGGCTGCTTTTCAAAAGCTTGGAACACTGTTCCGAGTCATAAAACTGAATTAACCCCAGCAGCTTTTAATGTTTTAAAAGGCTCAGATCAGATCTTCTTTGAAGAGTTGTACACATGTACGGTGACTGTGACTGCTCATCGTTTCAAGGTTCAACTCAGAATTTTCATGTAGTGCTTGCTTAAGAAAACAAAACGCCCTGCCGTCGCTGCAGGGTACTGACCGTATCCATCAGCCAGAAAACGATCTTCTCATCCACTCAAATCAAACTGCAGCAACCATGTGAGGCCATCAGAAAGTCACTACAACATAGATTCAGCCTCAGAGACTCTTTAGTCTCTGATTTGGGTGAATCATCGCTTGGGCATAAGCCTTTACTGATCTGCTCAAATGGAGTTTGTTTCTTCTGCTGATGCAGTTCCTGCTGCTCAAGAATACAATATTCTGCCATTGAGGAGGCCATAAGTTGGTTCATTGCCCCTAGGTTTGTAAACAGTATTGAAAGAAGGAGAACTGGAAAACTTCTGTTTCTGATCTGATGTTACAGGGAAGGCAGTTGGGTTTGTTTATTCCACGTCCATTTCCTCTGTAGACTCAGGTTCAGACGTTACTTCATGGTTCATGGAAGGTTTCGTTAGTGACACTGAGGGGGTTCGGAGTCATACATCCTTTTAAAATTCACCTCGGATTGAGGTTCCATTTTGAAGAGCTCTCACCTCTATGGATGGCACCTCACCTGGAAGGAGTATTCTAATGCCCTCCGCTGCAAGGCGGAAAATTGATGATAGCAATAATGAGGCATAACGTATTCAAGTAAAACTCATTTGTGTCATTTTATTGATTTCCAAGCATCTAAAAAAATTATATTTCAAACCTTTCTCTTCCACTCCTACTTTATAGTAATGGTTGAACTCATGTCCCTTCGTTAAAAGATGACTTGACGATGTAGAATTAGTCTTCACATTCCAGAAACTACATCTATGTTCTTCCAGTCTTCAGGAGAAGGTTCTGCCCGTTTGGCCAATATAAAATTTTGTGATAGAACCACAACTCATATACTATGCGACTCTGAAGTTTTCTCTTCATTGTTTTATCCTAATCAAATCAAATCAAATCTAGTGAATGACTAGTTCTCATAGTTTATTGTGGAAAATTGAGTCGACAAGTTTTATCTTGCAACAGTTTTTGACAGTAATCTATTTGTATAATCTTAGTTAGAAAATTACTTTCTGACAGTGAAATATTCAAAAGTTTGTCAATGATGCTATTTTATGCTGATATTCAAATTACAAAATTCAAAATCCGTTTACTGTTGAATGAAATGTTAGAGCCATTCAATTCCTGATATCGCAACATTTCCATTGTTCTATGCTGTCAGCGTGTTTTCGATATGCCATTCATAAAAATAAAGATAATATATTTCACATCACGTTATCGGTATTGTGTCCTTACATCATTTTTCAATATAAAATATTGCAAGTATCATAAAATATTCCTGTATTATTCCCTTCCAACTCGCCAGAAAATGATGAAACGTTTCATAAAACTGAACATAATGATACATTTATGAAGGTCCCCAAAAAAAGGACTGAGCGAAGTGATTACATTGCTTTTTTATCGAACGTCACGAAGGTTTGAGCTTTTTGAGCTGATGAAAATTCTACGCCGAATAAAAATGTCTTTTGTTAGGCGAACCAACACAATTTTTATTTTAATGATGATTGAGGATATATGTACTCGGAATCATCAATACTTGATGATTCACAATGTGATGACCAGACATTGAGGCCATATTTTTTTGTCTCATGCATATCCTAAATGTGAAACCTAGAATTCTGTGAGCTCTTACAGTTTATCTAATAATATGATTGTCGCAAGTGAGTTTTGTATCAAATTTTACACACAGATCTCTTTTTTCATTCATATGTTAACGACCACTAATAATTGTATACGGAAAATTGATACACTCGCATTTTTTTAACATTTATTTTCATGCTCTTCATTTGACTCCAACTAACTATTGTCAAGATCATTTTGCAAGATACCCACATCTTGAGGAAAATTCAGTAGACGTTACAGTTTCAGGTCATCAGTAAAAAATAGGAACTCAGAATTCAAGTCAATAGGTCGTATTTAAAAGACTGATCAAAACCGGACCCAGGTGGGACCCTTGTGGGGCACCAAATGATACTTTCATTAAATGAGGCTGCTACTTTGGCACACTGACTTCCGTATTTCAAAAAGCTAATACATTTTTTATCGTCTAATGATAACAACTTCCATATGATCAAATCATGTCAAATCAGGAGCATTTTTAGATAGATTGAACCTGAGAATTATTATCAAAATTAGATTGAATAATTGTGCTCTATGTGGTATATTCCTATTGAAAGAACATCAAGATTCATATGGGTACTACGTATGAAAATGCTTGAGATTATCCTTAGTGATACAGGGTGAACTAACGACAACGAAAGGTGTGAAAGTCGTTCACCGTTGGATGTCTTCCATTTGGAAAATGCCTCAAGTTATCATAAATAAATTGATATCTCTTTGGAGTATTAGCTCCTCATCAGTGCTGAGTAGGTCAGTATAGACGACTTGAAACCCTGTTTTATTTATTTCAGCCGTCATGAAATTTTTCAAGAGGTGAATCAGTAAACCGTTATCATCACTACATTGATTAGTAGAGTCAAGAAGCAATGTCAACCACCTTAGTGAGATATATGTTTCAGCACCGTATAAATGTACCATGTACTTGTAACTCGGAAAAAAGTTTGAGCTGTAGTCACAATAACACTTCTATAAAGACATCCAACGGTCTTCCATTTGGAAAATGCCTCAAGTTATCATGAATAAGTTGATACCTCTTTGGAGTATTAGCTCCTCATCAGTGATGAATAGCTCAGTATAGACTTTTTGAAAACCTTGTTTTATTTGAAATTTGTCAAGAGGTTAAGCAGTAAACTGTTATCATCACTACATTGATTGGTAGAGTCAAAAAACAATGTCAATCACCTTAGTGAGATATATGTTTCAGCACCGTATAAATGTACCATGTACTTGTAACTCAGAAAAAAGTTTGAGCTGTAGTTACAATAACACTTCTATAAAGACATTCAACGCATCAACTTCAATTTTCAATTGTTTTACCGAACATATCATTATTAAAATGATAAGAAGTTACAGATAGTGAACCTATTTCACAAAATACTTCAAGCAAAATAGAAGTAAAACACAGAAAAATCAGGATACATGAAAGATACATCAAGGCAAGGTGATTCTAGAGTTCCTGAAAATATTTAATAATATGTAATTTGGTCGGTATTGTACATTGCTAGAATTATCTAGTTATTCAACCATCAACTGGGCTCACGTCCCAAAAGTGATTCATTATAGGAAATCAATTCAATAAATTATGGATGACTGCTTCATCATCAGAGAGATTACATAGATGAGAAAGGTTATATGATTTGACGCATAATTGTTTTTCGATAATTAAGAGTGCATACTGATGAGAAGTTTTGGAGAAAAAAGTTAATTTTATAATATGTAATGTCTAGAATGGTTTAGGAGTTTATCCGCTCGAGTTTTATTGTTTGGAAAGTCAGAACTTTTTCATTTTATATTTGAATTTATGAATATTATACGTTTTGAATACTCTGGCAACATATTGTACATAAGGATTGCATTAATGACAAATGACTTTTGAAAAATTTTCGTTCTCTGCTGAGGCAAAGGTAGATTTGTGTCTGACAACGTATGAGGCTTGATGGGTCAGGATAAATCAGAAGTTTTTCAACGAAGTTACCCAAGTGAAGTTGTCTTCTATTTTCCATGTTGAGCCACCCACATTCATGACTTTATGATAGATGGGTTCATACTTCCTTTTATCAAAAACGAGTCTGGAACTATTCTGTACCTTTTGGAGTCGCATTTTATCAACGATCGTTGAGGACGGACCATGAATGGAGTCACAGTAATTAAAGTAACTCATATGGAAGCTTATAACTGTTAAAGAAAACCAGAATAGAATTGGATTATGGAAGTGAAACACAAAATTCACAACACAGCTATATGTATATGTTCTGCTATAACTTTCCCGAGCATGACTCCATCAAACTGTCTCAATAAATCAATCAGGAATCGCCCTTTGTTGACATTCATTCCACCACCAATTAACGTGCTGTTCCTGTCCGTTACTACCCCAAGTAACCCGCAACAAAAGCGTCTCGAGTAAATGTATCGCAAGATTTATACAACAATCACTTTGATTTCGGATATTTCTTTGTTTCAGCGCATCGAAGGATGAGAACTGTGACCAATTACTTCCTCGTTAACTTGAGCACGGCGGATCTCCTCCTAACCACGTTCAATTGCATCTTCAACTTCATTTATATGCTACAGAGGTAAGGCTCAAGCTACATTATGACTTCATTATATCGAATCGGATAATACTGTATGGAATTGTACGGATTCGAAAATTTTGATCGTTTGGATCAGCCCACATTGATACTCTGTTTGTTTATGATAATTGTGTCTATAATGTACAGGGAATGTCGATCTACCTGACAGTAAATTTGTAAATAAAACAATTATTGATTTTCGTGACTCAAGTAATTTCAAATATGGACTGGGCCTCTAGATATTCCAATTCTTCCCTGTATTACACCTATAACATACAACATATTGTGATATTATATATTTCATTCATTTGACTAAATTATACAGTGCATTTTATTCAAAACAAGTCACCTCGAATAACTTTTGGTACAATGATTTACAGGAAAAATGAAAAAATACATTTGATCTAACTTTGCCTAACGATGAACAGATTTCAACGAAGTAGAATACATTATGGTCTGAAGCTCATAGTTTGGAAGCTGAAGATTATTTGAGTTGAAAACGAGCCATCCTGAATGAACTTTTGCACAATCTGTTAACTTGGTTTCAAAAAAGTCTTATTTTGCCTAGTTAAGTTTGAATTCGATACTCTCTTCATTTTGTATATGCCTCACTCTACAATAACGATCACCTACCAGGAGAAGTTACAATTGGTGTATCTGTTTTCGTGAATTATTGAGAAACAATGGTTTATACGCTTCGGGAACGGATTGAAATAGTGAGTTTGTACTACCAGAATTTCAATAGTGCTAGAGCCCTTATATTCAATGATCCAGGAAGAAATGTATGACACAAAAACGTTTCGGAATTATTGAACAAATTTATGGAACCTGGATTTGTTAACAATAAAAAGCATAACTGTTCAGGAGTTGTCAACGATGAAGCTATTTGTACTGCAGTTTTAGGGCACGTTGGAATAATGGAAAATTGGCAATCTCTTACTAAGTTATCTCGAGGATCAGGAATGAGTCATACAAATGTTTTCAGTATCCTTCATAAGTACAAATTTCATCCATAAAAGATTGGACTAGTTCATGAATTGAACGAAGATGATTTCGATACATGTATCGAGTTTTGTGAAAGTCTCACTGAATGGGTCAACGTGCATCAGAATTTCTTGTATAAAATTTGTTTTCCGGATGAGTGTACATTCAGTTTGAATGGAGAGGTGAATCGGCAAAATTTTTGATACGAATCCTCATTTATACCATCAAGTTCATACCCAATGACCTCAAAAACTTGTGCAGGAACTTGGGTAAAGTCTAGTATTGTGACACACTATATAAATATGTAGCTGACCCCTTATTAAGACCATATAGACGTGTTGCTATTGATTTAAAAGTGAAATACTATAAATAAAAACGATTTTTCATAAATATTGTGATGAACTATAATTATTCATTTCCTACCAAAATGTAAGTATTAAGGGTATTTTAAGGTTAGATTGGATGGAAAGGTTAGGTAAGGTTCGGTCTGGTTAGGTTAGGTTAGGTTAGTTATAGTTGTTAGTTAGTTAGTTAGTTGTTGGTTAGTTGGGTAGAAAGGTTAGGTAAGGTTCTGTCTGGTTAGGTTAAGTTAGGTTATGTTAGGTTGGTTATAGTTGTTAGTTAGTTGTTAGTTAGTTGGGTAGAAAGGTTAGGTAAGATTCGGTATGGTTAGGTTAGGTTAGGTTAGTTATACTATTTATGCTTCATATAGCTATATTATAAAGTGTATCACAATACTAGACTTTCTCCATGAATTTTAGGTGACCTCATCATAGGACCTTTTTTATCGATAATAATTTGACTAGTGATAAATATTTGGATATGTTGGAGAACTGAATGATACCGTGCATCAATACGGCAAAATTTATTCGAAAACGAAATAGTTTTTCAGCAGGACGATACACCTTCTCATCATGCAGCTCCAGTGCGACAATTTTTGGATGATCATTTTCCTGGTCGCCGGATTGGCAAAACAGGTTCTACAAAATGGCCACCAAGGTCTCCCGATCTCACAGGTCTTTTTTAAAAAATGTTTCATGGTATAATGTGAAATATTGCTTATTTTCATTAACTTCCTGAGGTTATATTATCGTCTCTACGCGTAGACATGTCGCCAAACCCCATAACCGACTTACTTAGTGAGATCAGAAACAAGGAAACGATGACTTGTCTATTGATGACAACCCTGGCAATTTCCAAGGACGTTTTGAGTGGTGCATGAGCTAAGAGATAGCCTTATGCATTGCTACGAGAGTAGGGAGCCCCATCAAAGATGGCGATTTGGTGTGGAACACATCCAGGAACGCCGCCTTTTTTCCGAAAACCTTGAAGAATATTTGCCTACGTGCCGCTTTCAACAGTAACAGTAACAGTAACAGATTGTATTGTGATTTTGTTCATTTCTGAAAACGGGGATTGACGAAAGTTAATCAAGATTAAAAAGCCTACAGCTGTTTGTCCCTCAGAAACATTTTCACTGTGTCAAAGTAGTTATGTGAATATCTGATGTAATGGACTGCTTAATCTTACAAAAAGGCCTTGACTTTTTGTACCTTTGGTGTACCGAAAATAATCTTCTCCTCAATACGAACAAATGTAAATACTCAAAATACACCCTTGAACATAATGTTATTTCTCATAATTACTGCATAAATAACACACCTCTTCAAATAAGCACTCATCAAAGGGATCTTGGTGTCACATTTGACCCTAAACTGAGTTTCTCCGTTCACTATGACACAATAACATGCTCAGCCAAACGGATGCTAGGGCTCATTTATCGTAAGTGTAAGAACTTTCGTAACAGAGACAGTTTTTTAACTCTTTTCAATGCATACGTCAAATCTCGGCTGGAATATGCCTCCCTTATATGGTCACCCATATACAATGTCCACATAAACGAAATTGAGTCTATACAAAAAAGCTTCATGAAATATATTACTTACAAGCTAGAAGGAGTTTACCCTGACCAAGGCAACGACAACAGAACACTACTGAATAAATTTAATCTACTATCCCTTCAAAACCGAGGAACCTACTACTCAATAATTTCCATTCATAAACTAGTGAATAATCTGATTGACTGTCCGGAACTACTCTCCCACTTCAACTTTCTAGAAATGAACTGACTTTTTATCTACCAAATTCTAGAACAAACATATTACTGGTCACCAGTTGTTGCAATGAGCAAACTTTACAATCAACTCTGTGAAAATCTCGACATTTATTATGAACCTATTGGTCAAGTTAAGAATCATGTTAAGAAACTTTTACACTCTATTCAAAATACATGAGCCTAAATTGAAAGTTACTCTACCATGTGAGCTTATTACTACTACTGTATTACTGCTGAATTATGTTTTTTTTGTAATACACCAGAACTATGTTTTCACTTGTTAGCTCTATATCTGACTTATGTTTTTTTTCAATTACTCTTCTAGCTTGTTGCACACACGTTTTTCACCTAATTTTCCACATAACTCTCCTAAATGTTTCCTTTATTTTGTTTTTTGTTTACTCTCTTCAGGTGTTTCTAGTTGATAAATTAGTATTGTATTCATGTATATATGTATGTGTATGTATTAATATATTTTGTTATTGGGATTTATTTCTGTTTAGACATTGAACAATTAAATATTTTTTTTATTGATTGATATATATTCTTCAATAAAAATTACGCAAAACGGACATGATTGCTAAGAGCACATCTCTCAGGATGTTTTTGAAGAAGGTCATAATATGGACTATAATTCAACCAAAATCTTAGCAATTGGAAGAAATACAGCTGAAAGATTGTTTTGGGAAATTTCATTTATATTACAATCAAATAATTGCCTTAACAAAAGATAATACATTGATCACCTCAGTGACATTTACGCCTTTCTACCAAATTTTCAACATCCCTATGGCAGGGTTTTACTTTCTTTTAACAACGCTTCTTCATAATTCATTTGACATTGGGTTGTCTCATTGATAAACTCATAAACCAGCAGACGAGTCTGATCACACTTGCACTATAACTTTCGTTTCATAATCTGAACGAAGACATACAAACACACCATTTCCAAACTGAATCACATGAGAGCTGAGAGTGTCAATTTTTTGTTTTCTCTCTCTCTCTCTCTCTCTCTGTGGTCTGTAACTACATGGTTTTCACCAGTATTTAATAATTTCATATCAAATAACGATGTTATTGTAACATTCTTCTCGACACGGCCATCCTCACTTACAGTAAGTTGAGCCTTTTGTAACAAATTTATAACATTGTATTATAATCACTTTTTGTAGCCCTTCCTTGAAAATGATAATGAACTTCATCGAAATATTGGAATAACTTGTGTTATAATAGTACACTTCCGTTCTGTTGATCACCCAAAAATAGTTCCTAAGTTTTGTCCCTAACTAGTCAGCAAAGACTGTCCTTCAACTATGTGTACATGTCTATATGTGTATATGTGTACGTATATATGTGTAAGTACAGACAAAGACCAACAATGTAATACTCACCGTGTTCTTCACTTTTGTTGGTGTTTGGTCATTGACCCTTCACCCAGTCACTGAAAGTTTGAAACTATTTCAAATGTTAAGCTAAGTTAAGCTCAAAGACAAGCTTTCTCGAGCTTTTTTGAGGTTCCTTTTTGAAATCATTGCAAATATTGAGCTGAAACTCCTCAAAGACAAGCTTTCTCGAGCTTTTTTGAAGGTCCCTACATTTATTTTATCTCTTCTCACCTCAATAATGTATTGGAAGTTTTGTTTATATTGTAGTTCTCTATTTTTGTCTATATTATCTACATTGCATTTCTGAATATTTTTTGAATTGGTTGAATGGACATTATTATTATTATTATTACTTTTATTATTATTTCTCCCTACAACTCACGTGAAGATACGAGTTGCAATCAAATAAAAACAAAATTTTTGTTGAAAACATTTTATTCAATAATCTCATTGTTGTTCGATACTTCTTCTGCGTCCAATAACTTTTCATCAATCAGAAACTGTAATAAATCTTTTATCCTTCGGTTATATTCACTACTATTCGTCATTTCAGTAGCAAGTGCCTCTATGAAGTCACTTTTAGCATCAATCTCGTCTAGATCAGGAGCTTCTTCTTTATCACAGCACATGATATTCACTATTATCAAAGATATATAGAAACCGAACTTGACAAAAATTCTCCAATGACGCTCTAAGAGACTCCTGGGAAATACTTTCTCTGGATCACACGAAAAATCCTTCAAATTCTTACTGACACAGTCATAGTAAAGATTGAGGTAGTTTTTGTAATTGTATAGAATTTCTTTCGGGCTGTGAGATAGGAAGAAGTAAGACAGATCAGCACCAGGTGATCCCATTTTCGATATTTGCCAATCTAATAGGGCTACTTTTGAAGGCTTCAAAATGTTTTTCGGGTCCTAGAAAATAATAAATGTGAATTGATAAACAATAACTATCAAATGTTTCACTGCAGGTTGTATCGGTATCGCCCCGTGATATTTTAACAGATGTTTAACAAACATCTGTTAAAATAAAGTTATAATTTAAATTAAGAACACTAAATCAAATCGAAACATATGCCTAAACCATGTAAATACCAATAGAAATACAAAATATAAAGTCACATTTCGGTGTGCCTTCCACCACGTTCAATGCAATCAATTGTCCTATTTAAAACATCTTTAACTGCATTCTTTATACTACGGGGTTTCGTGCTTACAACACATTCTCGAATAACTGCCTCTAAATGGTTTATATCTCGAAAAGGTCTTTGCTTATACACCTTTTGTTTTAAGTAACCTAACAAGAAGAAATATAGTGGGGTTATATCAGGAGATCTAGGCGGCCAAAAGTGTTCCATATTGCGACTGATTACTTTGCCCCTAAATATTTCCAAAAGACGCTCTTTAACCACCCTTATAGTATGAATAGGTGCACCACCACACTGATACCACACAACATTTCTTACTTGAAGGGGCATATTATCCAAAACTTCAGATAGTTCGGTATTCACAAAGTGTAGGTAGTCCGCAGACATAATTTAAATGTCTAAAAAAGTATGGCCCTATAATTTGATCGTTTAATATGCCACACCATACATTCGTCTTAAACGAATATTGATCTCGACATAGGAGATATCAAAAGTTGCTTGAAGAGATGAACAAAAAAAATCCCATTTGATGCGGACTTTATGTGTGACACCGTAGATGCACTGTATGTGGAAAATAATAAAGACGTGTTATTATTATTATTATAACATAATGAAATGCAGCTCTCGATCATTTCATAAAATCACAACTTCATGTCACAAATGAGTTCAATCTACTAATGTCATAGGAATCTTGTTAGGATTGAATTGTGTAGCAATCCTGTGAAAGATATCTGATTTTATTCGATAACGAATGTTTGGAATACGAACTGAATGAAGAAAGGTGATTTTAGTATAATTCAGTGTTCATATGAAACTTTCTGTTCCGAAATAATTTTTCTTTCATGTAATTGAAAGAGTTTCCCATTTCTCTGTATGAATATGAAAAAGTAGAAAGCCAAAACCTGTATTTTCCAAAAATATAGCAACTGTAGTACTCACCAGGTACTCAATTAAAAAAATCAGTTACCTCATATTTAAACATGATATTGTTGCACCAGTTGTCTCCATGATTTACCAAGATGTTCAATTCTGGGTTCCTCAGAACAGCCATCAAATAATCTGGTAGTTCAGCTTGCAATCTCTCAAGAACTTCAACAGCAGCAGGATCGTCAGAAACGGCCTTCAATCCGTTGGCAACTGCAGCATTCGAGTAGGACTCCATTTTCTTCCTATTTTCCATTTCTTCTTTGAGCACGTGGTGTTGGATATCCTTTGTGAGTTCAGCAAATGCTTCAGGCCTTTTGTGCCTGTATGCCAGCGATGTAGCGTGGAATTTAGCGTACTCACATAACACAGCCAAAATGTGTGCAGAGTCCATCGGTTGTTTTCTATTCCACATGCTGTAGCCACTTTCTATCAAGTTTTCCATTATCAAACACTCGTTACCATTTTTCTGGCTCTTCCCGTATAATTTGGCGTGTCCTGAAAACGGATCTGGAATATTGAACTCCTTTTGGAACATCTGGAAGGCTGGAAATATCTTGTCGTATATGTGAATTTCCCTGCAGAACAGTTTGTGCACAGGAGCTGATCTTCTGAACGCATCGTTCGTGGATGCAGATTTGAGGATCAACTCAATTTTACGCTCTTCATCCTTGACTGTAACTCTAGTTATTATCCCGAGATAATTATCACCCTTCTCCGAGCCTGAACTGATTTCCAAATCGAAAACATCGAAACCGTTTTGATGTGCAATTTGTTCAATCAAGGCAAACTGTACCACACTCAATTCTTCTGCCATATCGAATACACTACACTACGTAATAGACATATCAACGTTATCTGAAACAGAATAACTAGAAATTTGACATTCTGGTTTCGAGGCAAATCTTTCAACTTGAATAATTATCATGGCAAATGGAATAAATTTAAGGCCCAGGGACGGATCTTCCCCGATATCGACATTGAATTTTGGCGTCGTATTTATTACACGCCAGTTGTACCTTACTTCAATTTCTTCGAGTTTTAATGATTTCAGGTGAATTGAGAACGATCTTTTCCGAAATTAAAACATATTCCAGATAAAGTCCGTAAAGTCCGTTTCATGACCAACAGGAAGGAACGGCCATGGGAAACCCCTTGTCCTCCTACCTGGCAGACCTGTTCATGAGCAGATTCGAAATGGAAATCAAAGAAAAGTCGAAGTATTCTCCTAGGATTTGGCTAAGGTATGTGGATGATATTTTCGCGGTATTCGATACCAAAAAATCGAATATTGAGAACTTTTAGAAAAGAAACAAGCACGTACAGGTATATTCCTGACAGTTCACATCACTGTAGACAGCACAAACGTGCTGGGTTGAATTTTTTAGTGCATCTTCTTTTGACTTTCCCTCTAACACATGATAGGTTCACAAAAGAAAGACGTACAATACAGGAAATAGCAGCCACTAACTTTTTCTCGAGTGGTATTGTAGATGACATAATAAGGAAGAAGAAGTTTGGGTTAAGAATGAACGAAATCTCGACTTTCAGAAAGGACAAGAACCAAGATAAATACATCTCACATACATACCACCAATATACGAAAAGAAACAAGCACGTACAGGTATATTCCTAACAGTTCACATCACTGTGGACAGCACAAACGTGCTGGGTTGAATTTTTTAGTGCATCTTCTTTTGACTTTCCCTCTAACACATGATAGGTTCACAAAAGAGAGACGTACAATACAGGAAATAGTAGCCACTAACGGTTTCTCGAGTGGTATTGTAGATGACATAATGAGGAAGAAGAAGTTTAGGTTAAGAAATTCCACCATTCTACGATGTAGACACTCCTCTTTTCTGACGATATTCGTTTCGCCAGGAGCTAAAAACTCCACGACAAATATCGTTTTGCTATGGTGGTCGAGAAGGACCACATCAGGCTTATTAGCTTGTATGAGCCTGAGGGTGGGGAACGAATAGTTCCAATAAATTTGGCACTTCTCGTTCCCCACAACGAATTCGATATCCCCCGGAGCGTAGGGCAACACCGGTGACTCGTCAATACCGTAAGAGTGCCGTAGATGGTAATATATCACTCTTAGGGCCGAGTTGTTATTATTATTATTATTATTAAATCATCTTCATGTAAGTCCAACGGTATAGGCAGCGCACGCCAAGAATTTTTCCGACTTACTCAATACTTATCGTTATATTATGATCGAAGTTACACAACACCTTTGTGAATTGTAGCCTATATGTTTTTCTGATGTATAAGCTGTATTTATGTGAAGTTTCATCTAAATCCGTTCAGTCGTTAGGGCGTTAAAGAGACACAAACATACATACATACATACATACATCCTCAAAAACTTTCACATTCATAATATTAGCATAGAAGTATAGATGAAGTCCAATTTTGGAACATTGGCTCTCACGTGAAAGTACTCAAAGAATTCTCACTTTCATTTTCAGTTGTTTTTCTCGATATCATCAACTTTGCCTTCCTACAGCTCGCTCGGCTTATTCACTCTTCATTTTCTGCTTTATCATCCTACAAATAAAATTCTAATCTGTGGACATCACATATCTCAATTTTGGTGTACAGATATCAAAACATTATCGTTGATATGAATTCACTATAGCGGGCTGCATAAATACGAGAAATTTTTCTCAGCACAAGTAGTAGTATATTTATCCAGAAATCAGGCAATATCATCAGATAATCAGTCGAAGTGAGTTGTGACAATGTCAGTACTAAGTGAGGAACAGAAAAAAATTATTGACTCCGTGGCCAGAAAAAATGGTTTCACGGATGATTTTGAAGTGGCTGCGTTTGCCGGTACAGCGAAAGGGGATAATTATTTAGGGGATATATTGAGAGTGTCTATTAAAAATGATGCTCGAAAATTGGAAGTCATTCTTAAATCAACATTAACCAGTGAGGCTATCAGAAAGGAGGTTTCTATGGACAATGTGTTCGGCAGAGAAATATATATTTACGAGAAGGTATTCGGAGAGTTCAAGAAATTTCAGGATAATTTCGTCATTTCGAATCCATTTTCTGGACATCCCAAATTGTATGAGGCTTCTCACAAGGCTGGACACGAATGTTTGGTCATGGAAAACATGGTGGAAAGTGGATTTAAGCTTTGGAATAGACAGATTCCGATGACTCCAGAACATATAAAAGCAGTTATCGTGGAATACGCTAAATTTCACACGGTTTCGTTAGCAATGAACCACAAAAATCCGGATCTCTTCAAAGATCTCACTAATGGGTTGAAAGAACATGTTTTTGAAGCAGATATGAGCGATCCGGTGAAACTGCAGTTATACATAGATGCAATTCTTGGTAACGGGTATAAAGCTCTTGAAAGCGAACCAGAATTGTTGGACGCATTGAAAAGATTAGGAAAGTCGTTACCGGAATATTTCGAAGTATCGAAGGATCCGAAGTGGGATTTAGTGATCAACCACGGAGATTGCTGGTGCAATAATCTGATGTTCAAGTATGAGGTAATTAATATTCACAGTTACTATAAAAATTCTGAACTTGCAATTGATTTTTTTTCTATTCATTGTGTTCTTCAATAAATCAGAAGTTTGTGCCGATTAGGCTCTTTCCCGGAAGCTCAGATTCTTTGGAAGGTTCGCCGACAGCAATATAGTCTGGGCACTGAAAATTATAATCCAGGGCTTATTCGATTGGCAATGACCTCAATCAACTTTTTGAGAAATTTCAAGAGGGTCTCGAAAAAATTTCAATAGTTATAAACAATTTAGTAAAAAAAGGGGGGTGTTTAGCTCTCTGCAAATATTTCGGAAAATATTAAAGATATCCTGAATTCGAAAAAAGATCCTTGAAGAGGGGAAAATTTCCTAAAAATAGTCCCACCTGCCGGAAGTTTATCACCGATCGTTATAATTTTAATTTAGAGGCGAAAATAGCGCTGAAAAAAGATCTACTGATCTTGCCAGTCATTAGACTGTTTCCTACCTTCCTAGCTATTGTTTTGGAAAAGTATGGTAGTATAGACTCAACATGTCGAATAACTTCATGAAAATTTATTCTAAGGGGATCCAGCAGGTCATAATAGAGTACCCTATCTCCCTAGCTTCCGTTCTGTAAAGGTTTTATCTACTTAGGAACATGTCGACTAAGTGTTCCCTACCAAAATATTTCAAAAATGCTGTTATCCTAATTTTGAATAAATATTCTCAGTGTTAACTGTGCATTATTTACTATTTTACAAAAAAAAAAAGGTTACCTCATATAATAGATAAATAATGGAAATATGTATTTACAGACACCAGAAAACGTCTCAAAAATCTCTAAGGTTTGCATCTTGGACTGGCAACTATCAAAATTTGGATCACCTGCCGCTGACCTGACCTACTTCTTCTTCGCCCACAGTCCAAAAGAAGTTCTTTACGATTATCAAAAGTACTTGAAATTATATCATGACACCGTCTGCCAGAATTTGAGAGAATTTGCCTGTGATCCTGAAGAAATTTTCCCTTACAGTCTCCTAGAGAAGCACTGGACACATTTCATCAAACTCGGAGTGTTTATGTCTTTGATGATATTGAAATTTATGTACTTTGATTCAGATGAAGCATCCGAGTTTACGGCGGCAACGGAAGCTGAAAATGATACAATGTCATCGTTTTCATACGAGTCAAGAAACACTGGTAAATTCAATGAAAGAGTCATAACTTTGATAAGGGTTTTGGTTGACACTGGTTTTTTGTCATAATATTTTGTTAGATTATGAATAGTTTCATAAATATATGTATAAATAGATAGATGATTCATTTCCATAGAGTGTACATGAACATGTATGGTCGATACAGAGAAACCCATGTCTAATGAAGGAGAATCGTCACATTTCAAATACACGAAGCGATTGAAAAAATATTTTGATGAAATACTGTGACGATAACAGTATTTCACGAAGAATTATCACTAAAAAAAAGCGATTTATTTCCAACAGGAGTACCCAGTTACAGGAAATGCTATTATTACAGAGTATATACAGGGTGATTCAAAAGTACAAACTTCAGGAGGTGATTCCTCATAATATTTTAATATGAATTGTCCGGATAAATAAATGTCCGGAAACGCTTCGTTTCCAAGATACAGGATGTTGAAGTTTTATTTTTATTTTCGTTTTTTTCAAATAACTTTTGAAATACTGAACTTAATTAAACGAGACTTGGTAATAGAAGGTTTTTGAGGTGTCGAATTCGAACCTGATGTTCTTATTGCTCTTACTCGTAGGGAGCACCACCTACACTTCTTTTTCTATTTTAAAGATTCATAGCTTATTTGGGCGTACTTATAGTACAGTTTTCAGTAAAAAAAAATCGATTTCTCTATCATATCTACGTAAATAAGCTACCCTTGTTACTAGTCGCTGTAAGCAACCGTTTTCTAAATATTTGGACTTGAAAACTTCAAGTCGATTATTTGATAATCGATGCATGTTGAAGTTATTACGAATATTTTGCTTTTTTCACAGGAATGCTTTGGAAATGAATTTGACGTTTTACTCGTTTGAAGAGGTCATTACTGTTGGCTACGTTCCTTTATGACATCCTTAAGCGAAATAGTTATTTTTGTATCAAGGGTGCATAATCAGTATTTGTTTCAATAAAATTTGCAAGAAATGTCAACATTTTATTTCAGGAAATTTTCAATATGTAGAATAAACTAAAATAAACGAAACTAAATTGTATTCAAATAAATTGTTGGAAGTGTCCACCTTCGGCGAAGATACAGGCAGTCAGTCGTCTAGTCATTGAATCTCGTACCCGCTCAAAAATTATTGGTGTGTTTCTTATTGTTTCACAGGCGTCTACCATTCGGTTTCTTAGATCTTCCTCGTTCACTGCTGGAGTCTTATAAACTAGTGACTTCAAATGTCCCCAAAAATAAAAATCTATCGGATTTAGATCTGGGGACCTTGGTGCCCACGCCTGGTTAGGTTCTTCTACACCCCTACCAATCCATCGATTTAGATAGACTGTGTTGAGGAATTCCCTGGCTACAACGCTAAAATGGGCCGGAGCCCCATCATGCATAAACCACATGCGGATACGAATTTCTAATGGTACATTCTGAAGTAGTCCTGGCAATTCATTTTCTAAAAAGTGTCTCTAAGTTGCGCCATTCAGTCGGAGCGGAAGAAAGAAAGGACCTATCAAGTAATTATCAATTATTGCCGCCCATACATTTACAGAAAATTGATACTGATAATGCCTTTCACTAACTGCATGCGGATTTTCGAGAGCTCAAACATGGTTGTTATGAAAGTTTGTGATAGCATTTCGGGAGAAGTTTGCCTCGTCCGTGAAGAGTACATATCTTAAATATTGAGGATTTCCAGCCAATTTCCTCAAAAACCATTGACACAAATTAATGCGTTGGGGAAAGTCTCGTGGCAAAAGAGCTTGTACCCTGTGAATATGGTATGGATAAAACTGTTGTTCGTGGATAATTCTCCAAACTGTGAACTGAGTAGAATTGACAGCTTCAGCAATTACTCTTGTGCTTGTTTCTGGATTATCCTCGAGAGCGTTCAAAACAGCTTCTTCCAATTCTGGGGTTCGGACTGCTCGTGGTCTTCCAATAATATCAGCTGCCCTCTTAAAGCTACCTGTTTCTGCCAAACGACGGTGGAGACTAGTAAATGTTGGAGCTGAAGGCAGTACTCGATTAGGAAATCGCTCCTGGTAAATACGTCTTGCTTCGCGCGCATTGCCATCCGCAAGGCCATAAACGAAATGCATATCGGCTAAATGAGCATTATTGTTTAAATAATCCATTTTTTCAAAATAAATGTTTTCTACTTCTACTTACGGAAACTTCAACAAAACTTCAACTGTCACAAAATATGTAATTACCAAAACTACTCACAAACGTCAAATTTATTTCCAAAGCATTCTTGTGAAAAATGCAAAATATTCGTAATAACTTCAACATGCATCGATTATCAAACGACTTGAAGTTTTCAAGTCCAAATATTCAGAAAACGGTTGCTTACAGCGACTAGTAACAGGAATAGCTTATTTACGTAGATATGATAGAGGAATCGATTTTTTTACTGAAAAATGTGCTAGAAGTACGCCCAAAAAAGTTATGAATCTTTAAAAAAGAAAAAGACGTGTAGGTGGCGCCCCCTACGAGTAAGAGCAATGAGAATATCAGGTTCAAATTCGACACCTCAAAAACCTTCTATTACCAAGTTTCGTTCAATTAAGTTCAGTATTTCAAAAGTTATTTGAAAAAAACGAAAATAAAAATAAAACTTCAACATCCTGTATCTTGGAAACGAAGCGTTTCCGTACATTCATTTATCTGGACAATTGATTTTAGAATATTGTGAGAAATCACCTCCTGAAGTTTGTCAAAGTACTTTTGAATCACCCTTTATAAAATATGGAATATAGAGATGTATAAAAGTAAATGCTAACAGAGAGTATATTCGTATACGTAGAATTTCAAAAGAGGAATGAAAAATTATATTTATAGTATTATTGAAAGTGATTGTGTACATGAATACATGATACCAAGGCGTTCAGAGATCCGAAATGAATATCGCAATGTTCACAGATTTTATTGGAGCTACTGCACATAAAATTCCACGGTGATCGTAGCATAGCATAGTGCGTGATGCTTCGCAATAGAATTTCAGATTGTGTCGACCTTCACTTCTTGGTACTGAGGAATTGATCCCGGGTAAAAGAACCGTACTGTCAATATTGTTGTTTACTAATTTATGCAGGAATTTTATACCAAGGATAACTCTCCTATTCTCCAAAAGTGTCATTTCAAATCGTGTCAACAAAATCTTGTGATCGATGCCTCTCGTGGGGTATTGACCATCAACTTTTAGACATAAGTATTTCAGGAACTTCCTTTGCACGCTCTCAATTGATGTTTTTTGGCGGTCGTAACTAGATTAAAAATAAAAGAGGTCCAAGATTAGAACCTTGTGGTACTCCAGATGTAACTACGTACTGAGTCGATTTGAAAGATTCATATTCGACGAATTGTTTTCTGTTAACTAGATATGATTCAATTAGAGTAAGCAGTTGGTTAGAGAGTCCCAATTTTGTCAATTTGCTGAGAAGAACAAAATGGTCTATTTGATCGAAGGCTTTTCGAAAGTGTAAATAAACAACATCGACTTGTTTTTGCTTGTCCAGGTACGTACAGAGATATTGAGATTTGTCATACATGAGCTTTGTTGTATTGGCATCTGAGTATTGAGAAATAAATTCCTCGATACTGTAAGGTTCTAGATTACATAAAAATCTTTCAACTCATTTCAGCTAGTAGCTCTAATATTTCTTATATCCTTCGGAAACTATTGAAAAATTTCATAGAACTCTAAATGCTGTCACGTTCATGAACTGATTTTTTTATGTATTGGATGAGAAAACTTGTTTATGATTTTGTTGATCGATCAAAATTTTTATTGATTCAAAGATATAGATACAAATATAAAGGGTTTCACAAAGGGTATGATCCAATATGATCACAAGACTGATAAATATGCCCTTGTCAGAAGCGAATTTCAATAAAGAACTGATCACAATAAATAAATAGCCGTCTGAAATGATTACGATAGTAGTCTTATACATTCTCTATCATCAAAAAAGTTATACGACCAAGCTTTGTATAAAGTTCATCCAATTGGACGAGAAGAGGATGAAAGTTACAGAACCTTAACCTACTCAGGCTAAACCACTACAAATATTTCAAATTTTCTGAGCGTATGAATTATCATGTGGGCCATATTCGATGTTTTATATGGGTCAAACTGGAAGAATATTCCAAACCCGCATGAAGGAACACAAAAATAGTTCAACCATGAACACTAACCCCTCCATTTCCAGTTTGAAACCTGTTGGAGAGAATGGATTGAATAATTCGCCATTATTTAATCTGTTCATTTTTAGGTAAAAAAAAAGTTGAGTATATTTACGGGACTTTCGAAAAATGTATTCATATAGTGAATACGAGGCATACGAGGAGGTAATATGTTAGCGTATAAAATGGTTGTAAGTTAGAAGTAACTTTTCATTTACGCCTGTGGAAGCTATTGTATAGCGCAACACGTATCGTGGTTTTTGTAAAACTCTTTATAGTGAAAGTCACACAATAAACTGTATTGATCAGTTTCAAATATAACTTTTGTTTGACGCGAGAAAATCCATGTCAGTTGACAACTACCGCCCAAATGATTATTCCAAAACACAGAACAGAAAAAGAGTTCACATAGTATACTGTCGTTTCTCTATATATTACGAAACTCTAATAGCATAGACAATCGACGAAAATTTGGTGCAAAGGTGGTCTATCTGACTTGTCCAATTCAACGTATCATTAATAACACCTAAAAAGCTCATTGATGTTGTAGACATATTTTTGGTTGCCAAAAGTGATGCAATATGGTCTCTTGCCTTTTGCGTTGGGCCAAATTTACATTATAGATACATTCTTTCCATTCTATATATGGAAGTAATACAGTTGTTTATCATTATCATCTTCTCAAGTACTTTATTGTACTCGATAAAAAAGGGGTTTCTTGGTGTATTTCATCATTTCGGACTTCCATTGTCTAATATAATATAAATTGATTTGAAAACCCTAAAAAAAATTAAAAAGATTAACCGAAAATAACAATTTCATTAACAAAAAATGAAAAATGAAAATTTAAAGACTTTTTTAAGTTATGTCACGACGTTTCGATTGTTAGTATCCACAATCGTCTTCAAGTGATAACTGGACTTATTCC